GCGCTGCGTGCCAGCTACAACAACCCCCACCGTGCTGTGGAATACCTGCTGACGGTGAGAGCGAGGCCGAATTTGGGGCTGCAGCGGGAGGGGGGGCAATAAAACCCCCCAGGTGAAGGGGAAGAATCAGATCCAGCTCAGCCCTCTGTGCTGCAGGGCATCCCGGGGAGCCCTGAACCCGAGCGTCCACCCGTGCAGGAGAGCCGAGGCCCGGAGCAGCCGCAGGTTGAAGGTCAGCAAAGTGGGGCTTCAGTGGGGAGCTGGGTGAAACTGGGGCCGGGCTGCAGCCCTGGGGGGGGGTTTGGGGGTCGGTGCTTTGTGTAGCACCTTCAATTTGGTTCCGGCTGCTCAGCTGGGTTGGCAGAGGCCCCCTTTATGCACGTGTCTTGCTGGCTTTGCGTCCCAGGGCGATGGGAATCGGCTGCTATGGGGGTTTGGTGAGGCTTGGTTTGATCGTTTCCTCCCACAGGGGAAAATCCATTGGAGTTCCTGCGGGAGCAGCCCCAGTTCCAGAACATGAGACAGGTGATCCAGCAGAACCCGGCTCTGCTGCCTGCCCTGCTCCAGCAGCTGGGCCAGGAGAACCCACAGCTCCTGCAGGTACCTCTGAACCCCTCCTTGCCTTCCCCCAGCTCTGTTACGGCCCCTTCTCACCCCCATCCTCCCCCCTTACAGCAAATCAGCCAGCACCAGGAGCAGTTCATCCAGATGCTGAACGAGCCTCTGGGGGAGCTGGGAGACCTGGAAGGGGAGATGGGGGCCATCGGGGACGAATCCCCCCAGATGAATTACATCCAAGTGACGCCTCAGGAAAAAGAAGCCATAGAAAGGGTAAGTGAGGCTCCTAAGGGGGGGCTGCCACCTTTTAGAGCAGGATCCGGAGCGAACGGAGAGGTGAGCGTTGAGGTGAGCGTTGTCTCTTTATCACGGAGGCTCAGGATGAATTGCAGCCATCATTAAGGTTGAGGCAGGCTTCCAACATCCGCCTGGGTTTTTTTGGGGGGTGAGAAGCTGCGTGGAGCCTGATGCTGTGATGTCAGTTTGAACAGGGGGGGGGCTATAAGGAACCTGAGCCACCCCCTTTTATTTAGAGGAGCTTAGCACGGATTAATTGTTATCCATTCACAACCTGATCACAATCTTATGATTTTGATATATATATATGTAAAAAAAAAAAGAGATTTCGTGCTTTTGGGAACCAGGATCTGCTGCAGCGTCAGCCCTGTGGGGCAGGAAGGGGGAAGCTGTGTCTGTGTGTCCATGGCATCAGGGCCGACGCTCCCTGCCCTCATCTCCTCTCTGCCCACAGTTGAAGGCACTGGGCTTCCCCGAGAGTTTGGTCATCCAGGCTTATTTTGCCTGCGAG